AAGGAACAGGGGAGGGTTCTTGCCCCAAAGGCCTCCCTCCATTTTTTGGTCCAAGCGGCAAAAAAAAAAAATTAAATAAACTCCCCTTTCACTTCTCTCAAAAAAATTTCTTCTTTTCTCCTTTTTTGCCCCCTCGTTTCTGAATGCAGGCCTCGGGGGCAAATACCAAAAGAAAAACTTATCGTAAAACATTACTGAATTTTTTAGGGTTCCCTTCTTTCCTTTCTTTTTCCCTCCATCTCTCCTCCCTCCCTCTTCTCCTTCCCCTCCTTCCTTCTGGTTACTTTCTTTCTTCTTTTCCTTTTTAAATTTCTTTTCTGTCATTCAGGAATGAGTTGATTTGAACTGGAATGTTTTCCTTTCCTTATTGCTGCTGGAGGAGAGCGTCCATTTGTGGGTTTCCTCCTGTGGCCTGTTGCAATTTGTAATTGCTTACTGCGGGAAACGGGGACTGCTTGCATTTCTCTGTTTCTCTTTAGGCGTCCAATCAGTTTTATTCAGGGGTGGCAAACGCCGCCCAAGGGATAAAGGGGGAACTGCGTTTCTCAGTCCCTTGCGATGCAAAAAAGAAAGTGGTTCAACGTGGAACCCATATGAGAAAAAGGGCACTAGGGGCTGTGTGAACGTTCCCCAGGGGAAAAAAAAAACCCCCTTAAAACATTGGGGACCACCGCACGGTGTTGAAAAGTGCACTCCCCCTTTTTGCCTTTCCTTTTCTCAAGCACTTAGCGCTTCGTCGGGGCGTGGGGGGCGTGTTTGAGTTCCACCAAAACAGGTGGGCATTTGCCTTAAAAGGCCTTCCTTCGCCCCTTTAAAAACCTTTTTCTCACTGCAAAAACAATCGTCCTGCTTTCGGTAAAGAAAACCCAGCTGTGCCGCACAGCGCCCCAAACCCAAAAGCGCCTCAACTTTCGCCCCTGAACGGGCCCGGTCCGGGGGCTTCCAACCTCTTCCTCACCGCAAGGAGAGGTCCTTTCTCGTGGCCTGTCGCTGCTCTCTTCAAAAAGACCACAAATCCCCTTCCTATTCCCTGCTCCGGCTAGTTTTAGGTGCCTGGGTCGCGGGAAAAAAAAGAATATTGGCAAAAAACCGAATTTGCCCGGGGCCACGTTCACCAAGGGGAGTTATGAAACCAGAAAGAGGAAAAAATCCGAGGCCTTCGTGGAACTGAAAGGCCCCGCAAACAGTTGTGCGCCAAACAAAAGGAGGGCTCAGATGGCTTTTTCCGAGCACTCGTGAGAGAGTGACCCCTGGGGTCTCGGCTGGTTCCCCGTGGGCACAGGAACCGCTGCCCAAAGCCCAGGGTTGCTCCAGGAGGGTGACCCCGAAATCTCTGGTCTCTGCGGGGGAGGTACCCCCACGCGGTCCACCTCCGGATCCTGGGTTCCCCGGTTGGGAGCGGGCCGCCCGCCATTCCCCAAAAACCCCAAGCTCCCCAAGAACACGCGCGCCCCCTCCCCCCGCGCGCCCTTCTCCCTTCTCGTTCCCAGACATCTCCGTCCTCCCCGTCCGGGCCCTTCCTCCCCTCCCCGCCCTCTCCTTCCCACCCTTCCCCATCTCTCTCTCCTCCTCCGTCCTTCTCCCTCCCCACCTTCCCCAGTCCTC